ACATGGAAGCAGCCCAAATGCCCAAAAGTAGATGACTAGATAAAACAGATGTGGTACATATATACAATGGAATAGTGCCCAGCAACCAAAAAAAAAAAAAAGAAACACATGTCTTTTGCAGCAACTTGGATGGAGCTGGAAAAGATCATGCTTAGTGAGATAAGCCAGAAAGAGAAAGAAAAATACCGGATGGTTTCACTCATAGAAGGAGTATAATGGACCAGGTGAGAAAATAATAATAATGAACAACCATATACCAGAGATATTTTGTGGGGGTGGAGTGGGGAATGGGATCAAAAATGGGGGAGGGAAGTGCACGGAACTATGGTGATGGCACATGGGTGATTCAGTGATGGGAAACCAGTGGGGATTACAATTGAGATGAAAAAAAAAAGGTACAAAATGATGTAAAAATAAACTATCTTATATATATATATGCATACATATATATATGTATGTATATACATATATATAGAGAAGGCTTCACTAAAGAGGCTGCTTTTGAAATAGGTCTTAAGAACTCAATGGGTGGCCTCCCTGGTGATACAACCCTTTAAAGACAGTACTATGAAGCTAGCCACAGCCCTTCATCATAAGTTCAATCCCCAGCCTGGCCAGGGAGTTGACTCACATGGTACAGACCTCTCCTGTCTCCCCGCTGCTCCCCTCAGCAGTGTACTCTGTCAGTTGGCCTGTTCTGTGCTCTACTCTGTCTCTGGTGAATCCTCTCACCACCCTTGCACCTCTGGCCTGTACCCCAGTTCTGTATGCATAAATAAATAAAACTTTAAAAAATAAATAAAACTTAAAAAAAAAAAGAACTCAATAGGTTTCAAATGGGAACAGGGAAGTTGGTAATTGTATTAATCAGAGACCCATTTATTAATGTTAACTTGGTGACAAGAAATGTCATCTTACTCCCATGTTATTGTTCAAGATAGCCCAGAATCATTTACTGGTCTTTTGAAAACACAGGATTGGAATTATCTCTCCTGTTTGCCTACTAACAGCCCTACCTCCCACAATAAGAATGTTATATGCCAGATACAGTCATTATTAGTTTATATGCAATTGGTAAATGGGGAAATAAAGTCAGTAATTCAGAAATTACATTGATTCATTAATTTCCTCCATTTAATTTCCTTACATTTTGAAGCAATCAATGGCCAACATTCACATAATTAAAAACCTTAGCAATATAAAAACTGTAAGAAAAAAAAAAACAACAGAAAATTCTCCAGGAATGCTATCCCTTAGTGAAAATAGAAGCTTGTCTGGTGGCCTCAAGAATCTTTAAGCTTTTCACCACATTAATAATTTTCTCCTGTGTATGTTGGGGCCGGGTATGAACTGATTGATCAGGAAGGCTAAATCCTGGGTCAGATTTTAAGTTTTGACAGGAAGTTGGTTTTCATTGGAAGTAAATGCCCTCAAGGAGCTATAAGTCCAAGGAGGAAACACATATTCCAGGGTTAAAGGCTCTAAATCAGGGCTGTTCGGTTAAAAATATGAGACACAAATGTACTTTAAATTTTTCTAGCAGTTAAAATACACAAACCACATGGCATGCTACTATATTGGACAGCTAGCTTTCAAGATCACCTTGTACCAAAGCCAAAGGAGATTTATTAGTTCTCTTTTTATTCTTATTAACATAGTACTTTTTATGATCCCCAAAAGGTAACATAGTTGCATAGGTTCTAGCTGTCTACACCTAACCCCATATTTCCCAGGAGTATGGTCCTTTTAGGGCACCATTTTAAAGAACACACTTGTTTTCCCTGTACATATTTTTCTAGCCTCCTCAGCTAGGTGCTGTCTTTTGATACAATTTTGAGCAGTAAGATGTAAAGGGGAGTCACATGGGAAAGACTGTTTACCCATAACAGAGGACAAAGAAAAAGGTTTGTTGTTGTTTGCTTCAGTCTACACCCATACTGGCACCCTTCGTTTCTGAGTGGAACATTTCCTACGAAAACTGTGATATCTGGCTCTCTGGCCATCATCATGTGACTATGACAGAAGTTTCTTGAATATACTGAGGATGGGGCTCTTCCTGGTGGCACAACGTGTTAAAGCTCTGGCTTATGAAGCTCTCCGTAGCCACTGCAACATGAGTTCCCTCCCCGGCCAAGGAACTGACCCAGATGGCTGGCAGACCTCTTCTACAACCTCCCGCTGTTATCCTCAGCAGTGTACTTTGTCAGTCTGCTTGTTCTGCTCCCGACTCTGTCTCTGGTGAATCCTCTCACCCACACCACTTCTGGCCTGTACCCCAATTCTGTAAGCATAAATAAATAAATCTTCAAAAGTATATATACTGAGGATGGCAGAACAGAGAGGCATACTTCCAGATATGTCCATGGAGTAAAGAAGCCAGCGCACAGAATTCCTTAGTGGTGGGAAGAGTGTTAGCAGAGATATCAATGTGCATTGCTTCATATCCAAAATCAAAGTTCTCTTTTTTCCTCTCATTTGTCTAGTCACTTCCCCACCCTCCCTTCCAAGATTATGAATCCCTTCCACTGGACTGGAACTTTCTCTCTTTAGCTATGACAAGAGTACTGGAATTACTCCCAGTACTTAAGAGTGCAGAGCTAGAAGTAGCAACAAAATTTCTTTGATGTCCCTTGTTTATCATTAAGGATTCATACACAAACACTGTGATCTGACCCTGATACATGTGTTTAAGAATATCTAAAGTCATCTATCATGAAAAAAACATCACGCAGTTAATACATAAGATTGTACTGTGCTGATTCTCCGCAGCTTGGGGTTTTCAGCACTATGTATCAAATTCATTGTTTAGCATTTTCTTTTTAATTGTCTGGGGTGGGGATCCACAAAATTTCAAGAACCCAGATCCATATAAATATATAGACACAAATGGCAAGTTGTTTTTTAACTGCTTGACAATCTCACTGTGTTCACAGCAGCGCACATGCAATAAATGGTGCGGATAACCTTCTAAATTGCTGACTGTGGCATTTTGGTAAGTGTATCAGTCACATGACAAGCTTGTAGAAGGGGTAACCAAATTTTTTTGAAAAGAACGGTGTGTTTTTTCCTCAGAAGGGTTTTCTTTTCTAGCAAACAAAGTTAATATTTTATTTGATCACTTACCAGCCTTACAGAGTCACAAAGGATTCTATTTTATCAACTCTTCACCCAAATCATATACTTAACTTTCATTAGCCATTGTATCCTGTACCAGCAAAGTATTGTTTGTTTTACAGTAGTTGATGGCCTTGATAAAGGAAGCCGTCTGTGTGAGTCACTCTTAATCAGTCCAGGGAACAAAGAATCAATTCGCCTTATCTATATGTCTTTCCTTCATGAAGAAAATGTCAGTTCAGTCCTGGCTCAGAAAACTACTTATCATAACACCTTGTCCCCCACCCACCAAGTGAGCAAACCTCTAGATAACGGGACTGGATTTTAGCACACATTTTTCTTAAAACACCCAGATATTTAGATCACTAAATGGTTCTAGCATATCGAATATAATACAAAAAAATCCAGAGCCTCATTATTTTGTAGATGAAGGTGCTCAAGCGTCCAGAACCTTCAATACACCAGTTGATAAAATTCCTTTACTTCACAATAACCAAAAATTTCACCTTCCTTTGTAGAAATGTCCATTACAAATAAGCCTTCGCTCGCTGCTCGCCATTTAATGTCTAAAAAAGAGTCTAATTGCCAAATAGAACGTTTAGGCTTTTACCCAACTCTAAGCTAACGATTTAGGTTTAGCTGAATCTTTCAGTTATTTAAGGATGTGCTTGAGCATACTGAAATGAATCATTAGAAATCGCTCATGAAGATACTTCCTCAAAAATCAGCTTGCCTGCCTGTTGTCAACCAGATCCAGTCACATCCATAACACAAAGTTGCACCTGAGTTGCTCACTTTAAAAGCTAAGCATCACTGCCTTCTAAGTCATTTGAGACTGACTTGAAGGAAATGTCAAGCCATTAAAAATTTGCTTGTTGGTTTGTGCTTTTTCTACCCGTTGCTTCTAGAGCCCTCCTTTTAGTTTCAAAATTTGCATGTTGCTTTTTCTGACATTGCTCCAAGAATCGGCCTTAATCAAGCACTGCTCGAGGTTTGCTTGAGCAAAACGGCCTTCAGTTTAGACTTAAGTGTATTTCCACTGTAACAGTCCGCATTTTGAAGAGATACCTAAATCCTATACACGCGTTTGGCGGTTGCTAAGCACTTGTCAATCACGGGTACAATGCTACTAGCTCTTGCTTCCGTTCTTTATAAAAATACCCCCAAACACAAGCTGGGCGACGATTTCGAAGTGCTCCGAGTTTTGAGTCCTTCGGGGTCTTACTGGCTTCAAACAGGAATCGAAACCGCCCGGTTTCGACCTAGCACCCGGCAAGCAGGCAGGGCCAGGTGACCCACTAGCCTTTGAGGCAGCAAAAGGCCCTCGGCGAGCCGGACCCCGCGGCCGTACAGTTTGTAAACAAACGCCCGCGCAGGCGCGGTGGCCGCCGAGGACGAGGGTGAGGGTGGGGGTGGGGGGGGCGTCAAGTTGCTCGGGGGTCGTCCAGGGGGGTCTCTTCGAGTGTGGAAAGTGGAAAACCCAAACAAAACATAGGCCTCTAAGTTAGTAAACTGACTTTGTACAACATGTCTACACATCCCCGTCTTTTGTTCCTGATGAACCTGCACGGCCTATGGGCGTAGCGCGCCGGCTGCCAGCCCGGTCACCGGATCTAGACCGTTAACGTGACTGCGGATCCTCTGCACAAGGGGTGCAGGGGACCAAGACGGGAAGAGAGGGGTGAGGGCGGGAGGGGTCGCCCCGCGGCTCAGGAACCAGCCAGTTTCCGGGGTTTCCCAAACATCGCGAGATCTGCCTGCGCGAAACGCGGAACCCTGCAGCGGTCGCGGGCGCGGGCGCATGCGCGTGCGTGTGCCCGCTACTTACAGCGCGAAAATTTCAAAACTTGCTTCCGGCTCCTTGACTGTCCAGTTTGGCCCCTGAGAAAGATCGTCACGTTGATCCGTTGGCTGCGAACATTCTTCGAGATGTTACGGTCCCAAATCCATGTGTATGATCGTCCCTTCTTTTCTGTAAACTGTGTGAGAGGAGGAGGGTTCAGCGAGTCAAGTAGCGAAGGGCGTGGGTGAGACCATCAGTTTTTCAATAAGGGTAATGAGCTTTGAATTTTTTTCTGGAGCCCATGAGATCACTGTTCCTGTGAGTGTGACCTGGGGTGATGAAATGGGAAGGAGAAGATGGGCAACTTAAGAGGTAAATGAAGGCAGGAACCACACTACACACCAGGGAGTTGGGATTGAAAAGACATCTCTTGTCAGTAAAGGGAGTTTTTCTTAAAATTGTGTGAACTTGTGCATGGTTGCAAACAAAAAAGCGAAATGTCCATTTATATCAGATTCATAAAGTGACAATCGGGAAAGCCCCGAATGAATGGAACCAAGAACATTCCAGAAACCATAGATAGCCCTGCACAAGGACAGAGGATGGGATTAGCAAAAGCAGTTAAAGTAACTTAGAATATGGGAAATCTCTTGAGAGAACTAATTGCTCTGTTTCTCTCCAGGATTCATGGACACCTGCACAAGCATTGGATTTTGCCCTGTGACACCTTCAAGGTACCGCCTCACACCTCAAGTGTCCAAAGATTTTCGCAGGTTCCTTCCAGCTCCCACAAGCCTTTTTCTCTGCCACAATGAAAAATGTATTTCAAGAAGTAAAGTGGTGAAGTTTGCTGTTATTTAGATGAAAGAGTGGGCATTACAAAAGTGTCTTCTGTACTGTTCACTAGGTGCTACAGTCAATCTTGATATTGGCAGCAGTCTTATGTACCTTAGCCAGTATAGTTTGATTCTTTGTGTATTATCTGCAGTACAAGCAAGAGAATACTGCTGGAGAACCTAGTACTACCACACCAGGAGGCCTGAGCAGTAGCATTCATCTGTAAGAATAAAGTACATATAGGAAGTGAGAGCATTGAAACTAGTAGTGATGGAGAAGGAGCCAGGTATTAACATACAGAGTGGAAGGTCCAGACTTGTAGACCCTTTTCAAGTTCTCCCTGGAACTCTTCATTTGACTAGCCTTAAGTATAGTCTATGCCATGGTTATAGGTGTGGCATTCATGGGAAAATGTTGCAGGGAAAATCTGGATGCAATAGACTAGGATTTTTGGGTGAAGACTGAGTGTTATTTTTTTGTGAGATCATCTAGCTGTAAGAAGCACAACATTTCAGTGGGTGTCAAAGGAAGTGAATGGAATTGCGAATCAGACTTTGGGTTTGATTCTTGGGTCTGACAGGCACTCTTTCTGGCCTTTCCATACCTCACATTCCTTATTTGTAAAATAAAGATAACAGTGCCTACCTCACAGGATGGTTATGAAATGAAAATGAAGTACTAGCATAGAAGTTGACATACAGAATATAACCAAAAGATTAGTTTTGTCCTTGAGCCAACTGCCACATTTATGTGTGCCCTTTATCCATCAAATTGTGGAGGCTTTCTGGTGCATAGCTGTCCTTAGAGAGCCTTAAAACAGGTTCTCAATTTGCTTGTATCTTGGAATCACTGGAGGGGCTTTAAAAAATCTAAAGCTGGACCTCCCTGTGGCGTAGGGGTTAAAATTCAATGCTATCACTGCAAAGAGCCACTGTGATGGCCTAAATTCTATACCCAATCAGGGAACTAACCCTCACATTCCACAGCAGACCTGTCTTAGCTGCTGTTACCCTCAGCAGTGTATTTCAGTAAATCCACCTGTACTGCTCCCCACTCTGGTGAATCCTCTCACACTCTGCACCTCTGGCCTACACTCCAGTTCTTATATGCAAAATAAATAAAAATGTTTCAATAAAGGGATACTTATTTTTTTTAAAAAAACATTTATTCATAGAAGAACTGGGGTAAGGCAAGAGGTATGGGGGGCGGTGAAAGGATTCATCAGAGGCAGAGTGGGGAAGAGAACAGGCTGATCCACTGAAATGTATTGGTGAGGGGAGCAGCAGGTGAGACAGGAGAGGTCTGCTGAGCCATGTGGGTCAGCTCTTTGACCAGGGATCAAACTCAAGCTGCAGTGGCTTGGGATAGCTTCATAGTGCTGTACAATAACCCCTTGCTCCAGGCGGGCCCCAATAAAGCAATAATTCTTAAATGAAAAATCCTAAAGCCTAGGTTCCACCGTAGTATGTCTCAAGAATATACAGGCATTGCTGTGGGAAGGGAGGGCTTTGAGCCCCCACACTGGTGCCGTGATTGAGTACAGGCAACACAGATGATAGGTTTATTGCTTTACTACATAGTGAACCTTGGCTCACTGATGGCAGTGGTAGGGTGGAACGGATGTTTATGATATATCCTGCTTCATAGGCTGGCATCTCTGAAGTGTGGGCTCGTGGTGCCCTGCAGCGGGTGAGTGCTGGTGCAGGTGTATGGATCACAGTCCTTTGATAATGAAACGTCTTCTCATAGGCTGTTGGGCTCGAAGTGGCTGCTCTGACTGTAGAGGTGGTTTGTGGTATTAACAGGTGAGGAAGGGGAGGTTCAAGCCTGTTTGTGTGGCCTTTCAGGGAATGATTTATTTGGAACAGGAGAAATGGCATGTCTTATTTAGGAATTTGAACTAGGAGACAAGGTACTTCTAGTAGGACAGCTGTGGTCCAGAAGTTGAAACTATTGTGCTGAAACTATTGTGGCTGAAGTATCAGCCACTGGAGACTAAGACCCAAAGTAGCAATCCTGGCCACACAGGGTAACCTGTCTTTCAGGGAGTCCATTTTGTTTACAAGCATATTTATTTGTCAGGTCCCTAGCAAGAGCATGGGTAAAACACTCTTCACAAAGTAAGGAGACAAGGGATTCAGAGACTATGCAGTGGTCAGTAATGACAGGAGTTTGTGAAATTTTTTTTTAATGTTTATAGCAACTTTATATATACATATTTATATAATAAATATATATTATATGTAATAGTTTATTTTTACGTCATTTTGTGCATTTTTCCATCTCATTTGCAATCCCCTTGGGCTTCCATCACCAATCACCCATGTGCCATCGCCATAGTCCAGTACTTTGTGAAATTTTAAATATATAGCCACAACACATAAAGATGTCAGTCATTTCTTCCACCAATTAGTCACCCCTTTCCCCTTGCCCTGACCTTTTGTAAAATTTGCAAGTTTAATTGCTTGTAGATTTGTATGGGAATGCTTCTCCATCCAATGCAGCGCATTTAAGCAGTGTCAGACTCTGCCTCTTAAATATTTAGATTGGATCATTGAGACACTGCGTTGTGTCTCCCTGCCCCAGTTTTATGGAAATTGTTGTCAAAAACTATATATTTAAGATATACAATGTACAATGTATAATATAATTGTATAATATATTTATAATATGCAATGTGATTGTGGCATTATTTATAATAGGTAAATTGGGAAACAACCTAAGTGCCCAAAGACAGGTGAGTGGATTAGGAAGGTGTGCTACATTTATGTAATGGAATATTACTCAGCCATTAAAAAGGTGAACTCTCCATTTGCAACAACATGGATGAAACTGGAGGGGATGATGCAAATTGAAATAAGTCAGAAAGAGATAGAGAAATATGGGATGGTGTCATTTATATGTGGAATATAAAGAAAAAAAGCAAAGGCCTGATAAAACCAAACCAGTAACAAATCCTAGAAATCTGACTGTAGAGCTGAGGCTACATGAGAGAACGGAGGAGGAAGGGGAATAAAATGGACTCTGGTAGAGGACTATAGGTGCCTTGGTGGTGGATATGGTATGATGCCATATTCCTGAAGGGGTGATCCTATACTTCTCAATCATATGCAATGTTGTAGACTAATGTTACCTCAAAAAAAGAAAAATATCTATGTGTGTGTGTGTGTGTGTGTGTGTGTGTGCGCGCGTGTATATATATATACACACAATGTGATCTTTTGATATACATATACATTGTGAAATGTACCAAACTAATTAACATATATGGCTCACATTGTTACCATTGTGTGTATTGAGAATTTGGAAATGCCTCTTAGCAAATTTCTGGTATACAATACAGTAAGAATAGCATCATGCTGTATATGAAGTCTCTAGGATTTACTCATTTTATAACTAAGAATTTGTATTCTTTGATAGCTCCCCATTTCTCCTGCTCCTCCTGCCCCTGATAACCATCATTCAACTCACTGTTACTGTGAATTTGACTTAGATTCTACATGTGAGATCTGTGGCTGGCTTATTTCATTTAATTTCCTCCATGTTTATCCATGTTGTTAGAACGATGGGATTTCCTTCCTCCTTTTTAAGGACTGAATGGTATTTCTGCTGTGGCTAAATCCCATTTTCTTTACCCATTCCTCTGAAATGGACATTAGATTGTTTCCTTTCCTTGGCTACATGAATGATGCTGCAATGAACATGGCAGTTTAGATATGTTTTCAAGATGGTGATTTTAATACCTTTGGCTATGTACCCCAAAGTGGGATTGTTGAATCATATGGCAGTTCTGTTTTTAATAAGACTGGCTTATTTATATGGGAGGGTTGAATTTGTAAGGTCATGTAAACTTCAGAGGATGGATTGCCTTGGGGGCCAGTCACACAGTATAAAGCAGAACAAGCTGACCTCTATAGAAAAGCAGGTAAGTGCAGCTAATGAAGAAACCACACCAGAAACTCAGCCTCAGAGAGAAAGAGCTGTAGTAAGTGGTTGTCTGAGCAGCAAGTCCTCAATTTCAGTCTGACCTCAGGTCTAACCACCACTTCCTGTTCTGAGTTCCCTGTAGTTCTGAGTCGTTATAATAAACCACTTCTACCTAAGTCACTCTCTGTACCCACTGGGTGCCACAGTTACGAGCCCCCCTTCTTACTGGTCTTGGCCTAATGAAACCACATGCCTTCTGCATCGGGAGCACACTTGTATCAGAGATAGTACTTTAACTCAGTACAGCTCGAATGTACCAAGAAAGGATAGGTCCCTATTATTTAGGGGTTTTATCTGTGGATTAATTCTCTGTTGCTGCGTAACAGAGCTCCCCAAGACTTAGTAACTTAAAGAATTCTAAACCTGACCTCAGAGTTTCTGAGAGTCAGGAATCTGGGAGAAGCTGTGCTGGGCAGTTTTGACTTGGGGTCATGTAGATGTTGGCCCCAAAGAGGGGGAGGATCTTCTGCCATGCTGGTTGGTAAGGGTCCTGTTTACCACCCACTGGCCCCTTCACAAGATGGCTCGAGTGTACTTATGACCTGGTGTCTGGCTCCCTCCAAAATGAGTCATATCGGAGGGAAAGAGCCAGGTAAAAACTATTTTTATTGTGATCCACAGTTACAGTCAATCTTGCCACTTCCTATTCATTAAAACAAGTTTCTGTCTGACCACATTCACAGGCAGAGTAATAGGTGTCATTGTTTGAAGGGGGGCAAAACAAAGAATTTGTAAACATATTTTAAAATCAACCAACCTGTTAGGTTACAAAAACAAGCCAGCCAACTTCTGAGATGGTTATCTGTTTTCAAATAGAGTTCAATTTCATTTCTTCAGTGATTCCTTTAAATAGTTTCTGTACCTGAGTCTGCATTGGTGGGTTTCCAGTGGGTGCCCCCCGCAGCCTGAC